ACCCCACGCCCTTCCCACTTCTCCTGCACCGTTTCTCCAAGGCCAGCTCGTGGCTTTCACAGAATCCGCGCAGATTCAAACTCCCTGGCTCCTCGGTAAACCCGCCCCGGGTGCCCCAAACCGAGACCCCCGGCTGCGCTCTGTCCCGCCCCCCATTCGCCTCCCGTCTGCGTCGCCCCCTCTCGGTTAGCGCCCCTCCGCAGGTGAGACCCTTGGTCAGGGGCCGGCCGGTCTGGGACGCTGTGGCCACTGGTGCCCGCCTTGCCCAGGCAGCCTCCTGAATCCATGAACCCAGAGCTGCCCGCACACCTCACCCCCAACCCCGCCCCAGGCTGCCAAAAACTCCGGGGTGTCCTTTCCATGGGTGAAAAGCGCAGCACCCTTTAAATATTTCTGCCTCCCCCTGGCGAGGAGAAAGCGCTCACTAAACGTGTTTAAATCTGCATTTAGGTCTATTTGTAATGTGGTCTCTCTGGGGAAGCCAGCTGCAATGCTCTGTCCCAGCCATCACATGAAATAGGCGGGCGCCTGGGCGGGCAGACCTGTCCCTGGTGCTTGACAGCTGTCCCCTCCCCGCCACCACGTTGCTCTTCCACTCCCTGAAAGCCAGGCTCCAGAGGAGAGTCCCCGTGGGCCTTCCGCCCTGAGCCATTGCAGCTGAGGGCCCAGGACTCCTGCACTGCTCTGCATGGGCTTGCTCCGGGCCTGTTAGATGCCAGCCATGGCTGTCCCACTCGGCCTGGCCTGTGCTGTCCCTGGGTCCCACACATGCGTTCCTGAGTGTGGGGACAGGAGTGACTCTCCTGATGGAGCATCCTGTCAGTGTCCCTGGGAACCGGCTTCCCACTCTTGTCTAATCTGCAACTCACAGGCTAACTTCATTTCACAACTCAATGGTAGACCTCTCCAGAGACTGTGAGACACCACATTAAATAATGCTCAGCACTAATGAACACTCAGGTACACCACAGATATTCCCTAACGCCACAGACCCTGGGGATTTGGGGGTCACTCAGTCCAGAGCAGTAATGCCTGTCCCTTCCCTGTGACGAGCCCTCCCACCCCCAGGGCACACCCAGTCCCAACCTCAAGCACCACGTGAGAACATTATTCTAGGCTGGCTGTAGGCACTTGGTCATCTCCTTTCCAAATGGTGTGGAGCATAGAAGGCATCTTAGCTTTCGAACCCTGCTTTCAAACCCCGACATGATGGCCTAAAGGTGATCGATCCCCTTTCCCCAAAAGGTTATGGGGGAGGGCAGGAATAGGACGGAAGGTGAGATAAAGAACCGTAAACACTCACTGTTCCAAACCTAAGAATAAAAACGGGGAAAGCAGCCCTACCTGGTTTGGCTCAGTGGTTAGAGCGTTGGCCAGTGGACTGAAGGGTCCCGGGTTCAGTTCTGGCCAAGGGCACGTACCTCGGTTGCAGGCTCAATACCCGGCCAGGTCAGGTGCATGTGGGAGGCAACCAATCGATGTGTCTCTCTCACATCACTGTTTTTCTCTCTCTCCCTTCCGCTCCCTCTAAAAAGCAATGGAAAAAAATATCCTCAGGTAAGGATTAAACAAACAACAACAACAAAAAACGGGGAAGCAGAACTTGAAACCAAAGTTAGGATTTGCAAGGTGAGCTTTTCTTTTGCAAGTTTTTAAAATATGTCAATAATCACACTTCTCTTGGCATTTTTAAAAGAAGAGTACACAGAAGAAAAGAAAATTCTAAGCCCACAGTGAAGAGGTCCTTCGACCATTCAGCACTGTTTTAGGGCAGAAGTCATGGTGCTTGCTCTCTAGAGGCGAAATCAAACCCGGGAAGGCAGGGCCTGTGTGGGGCCCTGTTGTTCAGGCTGCAAGCCACGAGTGGCACATGGGGCTGGAGCCCACCAGAGCTCAGCTCACCAGGCCCTGTTCCCGGGGGGTGGGGGGCTCACCTGGGGGGAACCTTTAAAAATTATCCGTCAAAGGGGGCTTTGGGGGGAATTCACATCATAGTACCCCCTATAGGCCAGCTGGTTCGAAAGCTATTTCCCTAGACCAGCAAAAAGAGAAACAGATAAATTATCACGTTAACAACAAAAATGCTAGGCTGTGGCTTAATGAACAAGGAAGCAGGAGCTCCGTCTCATCTCCCAGGGGCCCTGCCTGCTGTGTGGAGGCCCACAGCAGCCTTGTGGGGCCTGGCACGGGGCTGCAGGTCAGGGGAAGGGTGTGGGCAGAGCTAGGAGAGGGGCCTGGGCTGGTGCTGGCCTCACATCAAGTTGATTTGAATAGGTGTTGACCCCTTAAAAGCAATGAAATTCAGGAACCACTTCTCCCTACCCCCTGACCCAAACTATGGAAACTGAAGTCATACTACTAGAAATGGCCGGGGGCAGTGATCCCTCAGTCATGCCTAATTCACACAAAACTCATAAGGCGGTTCCCCTGGTTGAAGGAGATGGAAGTTTCGGTCTGTAGAGCCAACGGGGAACGTCCTGTGAGCAGATGAAAGACACCCTGCGGTCCAGGCCGGGGGCCTCTGCCCCACGCCCAGGTCTCAGGCGCCCACCGCAGCAGAGCAGAGCACACATCCCGCGTAATCAGGGTTGCCCGTCTTACTTAAGCACCCATCTTACTTGGTTGCCGCCATTGGATGAGAGGCTGTGATCCCAGCACCTAATCTGAAGTGAGCAGAAGACATTAGCCTTTCCTCTGAAGATCAGAAAACGTGGAGCACCCGGTAGAATTTTCCTTGAGAATCTTTCTTTTAACACATAAATATTTCTCTCTGATTTCCTGAGGCTACGCTGAACACCGCGAACACATCGCAGGGCTACAGATACGTTTGAACATATCCTTCGGGTTTGAACGCACGTGTTGACAGCTGAACTCGTCACTGAGAACAGAATATGAGTAGCTGGCTCGGGGGCTGTTCCTGGG